ACTTCAGCTTCCACTGAAGAAATATTACAGACAAGTTATCGGACACAATGTATATTGATTTGCGGTGTTATATACTATTAGGATATATTACATCTATGACTAATGTCTACTGCCGACATCAAGGAGATTAAAACGTGAGGTAATGGAGAAATCACGGATTAATCATGTAGATTAAGTTTATTGGATTGATATATAGTTCGACAAAGGAGAAGCAATGACTTCTGTTCAGGATTGAATTGATGAATTGTCGGACAAAGAATTAAGTCAGCCAATCAAGGCAGATGAAGTAGTTAATCAAGGTAGGTGTATAGGCGGCATGAAACGATAAATACATTGATCACTGAATTACCTAATCAATCCAGTTTATTATCAACGATAATCGGGTTGAGTGGTAGTTATGCACTTAGTACACTATATTAATTTTGGAATTTTGAATATTATTTACCATGTCTTGATGTCCGATTGGGCATATTCCTGGTCGGACAATTTAGGACGTTTGGAAAATAGCGTCGGACATGTCCGGAATATACTGGCAAAACCCCATCACTGCTGAGTCCTATTGTATCACACGACTATCGTGTTTCACGATAGCGACTGCTACAGGAGTTATTTATTGTGATATATGTACCTTTGATTTAATGCAATATAATTTGAAACGGATTTATAAATAAAACAGAACAAATCATTTTTTAACGTGATTATTTCCTCTTGATATCTTGTCTTTGTCTTTTCAAGCTTCCTGATCTTGTCTGAAACAACTGAATGTCATTAATTGTCATCAGGTGAAATAACAACCCTTTTCTTCTTTTTGAGTCTTCTGATTGTCTCATCTCGTCGATGAAGGTATTCCCGGAGTCTTTTTGTGGGGAGATGCTGGTAATTAATCTGTTTCCTCCTAGGGCCTGTCAGCAGTTAGTAGTGGTTCAGTTATTCTCACAACCGGCCTACACTTCTTGCGCTTCTTGCTCTTCAATGTTAGTTTTTCAGCAATACACTTCCGAAGACTCTTCTTAACAGTTACCACATGACCGCCTTGTTTTTACTGGAGATGGCATGGGAGATGGCAAAGGATGAGACACAGCTTGTAGACTTGTTTGAAAAGGATGAGGCACATACAAATTCGATGGGCGTGTGACAACACAGGATTTAGGCTTTGAGGTCCCACAAACAAAATCGTCTTTACAATCTTTCTCAATTGACTCAAACTCAGCCGGATCTGTAAGCTTCCTGTACTTTTCCAAGAATTCTAAGACTTTTGATATACAATAGTAAGAAACACAAACACCAGATAGTGCTTATAGTATCTTCTGAACTGAACCAACATGTCGCTGATTACTGATCAGGAGGTGGAAGAGGTGTCCCTTCTTTAAATCCTGGATGGCTGATGGCAGTAAGCTGAAGTAGTCACTGACGTGAAGTGCTGCTTTCCCAGAAGTAGTTGGTCGACTATTGAACAGTCGATGATTTCTTTTCTTCGAAGGCATTCTGCTCAATTGACCTGAAAAATACAAAACAGATATAAGAACTTTAATAGACAAAGATTACATTACATTATGGTTCCAGCCAAATTTCCCTTTTTCGTTCATTTTACGTCCACTTCCACCTAGGGTGATATCGTAGACAAGAAATTTCCCTTATTAAGCCCCAATTAAATAAGCTGTGCATAATTGTTATAGTGGTATTGAGCCTTTAAAGATACATTATGGGAGATTTTTATAGAGAGTTGGCCATTCTTGCTATAACAGTTCAAAAGTAGACGATGAAAGAAGAATATATTGAAAATTTCAGTCAAATTACTTTATTCTGAACAAAGTTATCAGCGTTGTGATATTTGACTAGAAATGGTAGACAATTATATCTTTACCGTGGCCGATCGTTTGATTGACAGGCATTAACTCCACCTACATAATCTCAATTATCAAGTAACGTTTTCAATGGCTTGAGACGGGGTTGCAGTTCAATTCATATCACATTTATTTTTACTACAAATTAAAAATAAGACTTTTATTATATAGATAAGAAACGAAAGTTTGAAAGGAATGGACCAAATCAATGAGGCATAATTATAGCCGACTTCTTGTTAGTCTGGGTGTACTCTTGTACTGTAACGTGACTACGTGACTCCCGAAGCAGACAAATAATAGGAAACACTACAGTGATCCAATGGGGCTGCAATTCAACTGGGGTGATGTTAGCTGCAATGTTTATCAATTTCCATTGATAAACGCAAGTGACAAAAGAGCGTATAACACCAACATCCAAACTCTGATTTAAACAACAATTGAACATAATATCAAGGCCGTATATATCGAACTTTCAATCAAATTAACTGACATGTGGCATCGCTTAACAGCTACCTCGCTTCGTACACTCTATCATTTAGCCTCGATCTAACTGATAACGTCAACGTAACGGTTAATAATCTCCGAATGGGGCGCCATTTTTGATTTAATCAATCAGTGAAATCCTATTTAAATCCAAGCTGTAGCTGAGCCATCCGTGGGTCTACAGAGTTGATTTTGGGCTTGTTGTTTAAATAAAGATCTACTTTATAATTTCTATTACATCTGAAGCCTAAATTAAGACTTGCAATAATCAAATTTAGCTCTTGCATATTATGTATGTTTAAATAAGCTGTGTATAATTATTATCAATTGAAACACAATCAAAGGAATCTAGCAGAAATCATGGAGAAATCAAAGTCAATTGGAAAGTAAAAGCATGTGTAGTTTGCTTTCAAACTTTGATTGCGCTAACGTTAAAATATCTGCTCAAGATTAAAATACTCAACACAAACTAGGTCATTTCGGGACTAACACATGGTTCAATTTTATTTCAATAATTTGCTTGCGCGTAGGGGTCTTTATCAGCGGGAGGAAACCGGGGGACCCGGAGAAAACCCATGAGATTGAACAGGCAACCCTACTCCTTGTCACGTACAACCGGGGAGTTGAAACCATGCCAGTTGACTCAATGACAGACCTTATGATACAGCGGCCATCCACCCCCCCCCCCCCCACACCCCCGGATTAAAATAGGATATCATATTTCACCATAGGGGCTACATACCTGTCAATATCAGCAGCATCTATACGAAATTAAAAAATTTTCCTGTACCGATTTACTACACTTGAAGCATCAAAATCATGAAAAACAGACAACAAAGTTGACAGATAAGAACTTCAATAGACAAAAATAAAATGAGCTTGAAAATCAATTAAAATCCTACTTCTCTAGAGTAGGTCTAATCATGAAGTAAAATTTCAATTTATTTCATTATGGTTCCAACCAAATTTTCTTTATTAAGCCTAGATTAAAGGGACAATCTCTGGCTTGACAGCTCCAGAAAATAAAAAATAGCCTTAATCTAAGTACTAGATGTGTTAGTGTCCTACCTGGTGTGTAAATTATACATTAAATCCTATTTTACTTGTCCAGAGGGTTCAAAAATATTTTTAAATCCATGTCACATTTGAAAAGCTTTACGTCAGGCTTTTCAAATCATTTAGTTGAATTTTTCCAATTTTTTAAATTAGGTGTGTTATGATGAAATTTGTATCATCAATTAATTGGAATATTGTAAAATAGTACAATTTGTTGATCAGAATAAAGATTGGGACATATTATTCAGTTACAACAAGAGTGGTATTGAGCCTTTAAATAAGCTGTGTATAAATATAATTTTTATCAATTGAAACACAATCAAAGGAATCTAGCAAAAATCATTGAGAAATCAAAGTCAATTGAGCCTAGAAAATAAAGGGAAGTATGTAGTTTGTTTACAAACTTTGACGCTATCCAATCAGAGGCACCCATTCCGATCACGTGACCCATTTTATCAAGATTTTTCAACAAAATCGTGTGCAAACCTCTGCTTCCTGTTACGGTAAAATATCTGCACAAGATTAAAATAGGATATATCTTATTTTACCATAGGGGGTACATACCTGTCCTTATCAGCGATATTTTATATGAAATTTAATTAGTTTTCTATGCCAATTCCCAGCACGTGAAGCATCAAAATCCATCATGGCGGGAATCGACTGAAACGACCGAGTGAAACCTGCGTCGAAATAAAGTTACTTCTGGGGGTTCAGTCTCCTTGATTTTTGGAAATGATGCAGTTCAATACATATATTTTACTTAGATAATAGTTTAAAGTAACAAAAAAACTTACCTTCGGTTCTTCCGTACAGTGTTTTTTGGACTTTTTCAACAGACTTGTAAAATATTTGACCTAACTTTAGAACCAAAATACACGCAGACGCGAATTGAAAGAGAGACTGTAGAGCTAGTATCCGGCTTCTGATTGGACCAACATAGCAGCTTTATATTACAGATAGTTTTAAGCATCGCCAAAAATGCTGGGGGTACCGAGACGCGACCTGGTGGGTAGCTCTGACATAGGTCGCAAGTATGACGACGTCATTTTGGCCTGTGAGTCGGCGGCTTCATTATCCTCCCTATACATAGTGTTTAAGGTCATGAGACAAAGAAACCTATTGATTTTCAGCGATTATCAATAATTACTGCCAGAGTTATGACCCTTGATCACTTCAAAATATCTTGTGGACGCTCTAGAGGCCAAAGTTAATATCCGATTGACGTTAAATTTATACACAGTGTTTAAGGTCATGAGACGAAAAAGCCTATTGATTTTCAGCGATTTCTGATAAATTACTGCCAGAGTTATGGCCCTTGATCACTTCCGATGAGAGTTACGTCCCTTTGCCAACTTCCTTTGCAATTAAAGATTGATAGGTTTGGTCGATGAAAATAGCACAGTCATCAAGGGTGGATAACTTGAAAACGTGTCCCCCCATAGATTAACCCAGGGGTTAATGGAGTAGAACAGAATGAAACCACTGGGGATACCGAGGATGTAGTTTTGGGTGAAATTTTTGGCAAGGTTTCATTGTTTATTTAGAAAGACTTGATTAATAGTATTTTAGTAAGGTGTCTAATAAAGTAGTAGAATATATTTTATTATGTATTTATAGGATATGGAATATGCCAGTAATTGTCAAGCTACACAAACTTTATTACAAACTAGTAAATTTGTTGAGGTAAGTTTATAATTTGTGTATACCCACATTTTCATGTGGACGTATATTGTCGTCGCCCCTGTCCGTCCATCCACAATTTGTTTGTGGACACTCTACAGGTCACAATTTTTTCCGATTTTGACGAAACTTAAAATATAGATCTGCTATCTCCCAAAGATCTTGGTTCCTTTCGATATTGGCATATATCGGACCATAACTTCATGGATTATAGCCCCTGATTATACAAGGGGATCACGGTGGCTAAGTGGGTAAGACACTGGCTCGGTAGCAAGGAGGTCGGGTGTTCGATCCCATCATTGGTTGAGAAGGTTCATCCAGATTTTCCGGTGTGGTTCTCACTTGTCAGAGATGCAGGACGGGGGGCCTGACGAGGACAGCTGTCTAGTCGTTCGAATAGCACGAAAAAGCGAGGTCCCGTGTACACATTGGCCTGCACGTGAAAGATCCCTTGACAGTTGAAATTCGATGTAAGAGTAGGTCGTAGTGCCACTGTTCGGGCAAAATTTCCCTCATAGCACAATGTATGGCATATGCCCGTCTTCATTAGCCCAGTTCGGAGCAGAACAGTAGGACGTTAAACCCCATTTCATTTCATTTCTGATTGTAAGAAAAATCGCGTTTTTAGCTTGTGGACACTCTAGAGGTCACAATTTTCATCTGATTTTGATGAAAGTTGAAATGCATGTTTATAATCCAAAGATCTTGGTTCTTTTCGAGATTTGCGCATAACTTCCTGAATTATGGTTCCTGATAGTATGAAAAATCATGTTTGTCCCCCGCCTTTCGAAGAAAGCAGGGGACTATTAAAATGGGTTCGTCCGTCTGTCTGTCTGTCTGTCTGTCCGTCTGTCTGTCCGTCACACTTTTTGGGACACAATAACTCTCTTCCTAATTGAGCTAGAATGTTCAAACTTGGTGTATGTGTTTATTAGGTCAATGCCTTGATGGAGTTCGAAGATGAGCATTTTCCGCTTAGGGTAAGCAGAGATAAGCAATTTGATTGGTTGATGCTTTGGGACACGATAACTCTCTTCCTAATTGAGCTAGAATGTTCAAACTTGGTGTATGTGTTGATTAGGTCAATGCCTTGATGGAGTTCGAAGATGAGCATTTTCCGCTTAGGGTAAGCAGAGATAAGCAATTTGATTGGTTGATGCTTTGGGACACGATAACTTTTAATTGAGCTAGAATGTTCAAACTTGGTGTATGTGTTTATTAGGTCAATGCCTTGATGGAGTTCGAAGATGAGCATTTTCCGCTTAGGGTAAGCAGAGATAAGCAGTTTGATTGGTTGATACTTTGGGGCACGATAACTCTCTTCCTAATTGAGCTAGAATGTTCAAACTTGGTGTATGTGTTGATTAGGTCAATGCCTTGATGGAGTTCGAAGATGAGCATTTTCCGCTTAGGGTAAGCAGAGATAAGCAATTTGATTGGTTGATGCTTTGGGACACGATAACTTTAGTTCTAATTAAGTGAGATTGATGAAACTTGGTGTATAGTTTCATTAAGGACAGAAGATGACCGTTGTTGCTTCATGTACGGAAAAAGTTCATCAAATCAAAGGATAGAAGCTTGGTGGTCTATTCTCCGCCGCCACACTGCTGATTGGTGGATTAGTTTCTTCAAGGACTTACGAGATACCGGCTTGTATATCGATTCCGACCCTCTGCACGTCGAATGTCTCCGCTTTTGCTTCATGCAAGTCATTCAGGAAGAACTAGACAGAGTTGCAATTGAATGGAATCAACACACACTTCAGGTGAATCGAAACAGTCAAGGACCAAAAGGAAAACCAGATGTAATGTTTTTCACTCCTCAATTATACGACACGCATGATTATGTAATCGATTGTGCTGTGCAGGATATCGAGATCTGTCAACAGCTTCCAGAGTTTCAACAGCCATCAGCAAATGGACAAACTGAACAATTTCGCGAACACGCCAAGCTTGTTTTGCCAGGTATTCAAACCCCAAACAATGTCGACGAGGCTTCCGCACTTTACGTAAAACTGATTGATGAAATTACTTGTTATAATTAGAATTTGATTCCTACGGAGACATCATCGATTCCTTCCGATATATGCGGTCAACTGTTGTCTACTCTGGCAGGAACAGCAATTTAACTCAAAATAAGATGGTTTTTGCAGCAAACTGTGTTTATTCGTTCAAATGCTAAAATAAATGATGGGTACAAATTACGTGTGATTCATGTCATTTTTAAGACAAGATCAGGAATCAAACAACGTACGACAAAGAGTATCGGATAATGCTTCACTGAATTACCGACCCAAACCGACGTTTACGTTGATCAGTTTACGTTTAACTGCAAACAACTGCTAAACATCTATGTTAGTCTGATCATGTGTTATAATGATATAATGATGTTTTAAATGATATCTGAAAATTTAAAGACAGCGAATCCACTGTTAAAACTTTAACTGTAAAACTCTGCTCAGCGTTGAACCTTTGTTTTGGTCAGTACTTTCCGGGTTGCAATAAAATGAGGAAAAGGAACTGAAGTCTGGCAATGAAATACACGCCATGTAAAAATGTATTTTTAGATTCATCAAAGTAAAAATTTGATGACCCAAATTTTAGGTTTGGTAGAAATTATAAACACCGAACAGGGTTTGTGGTTGGTGTTTAAGTTGTGGATTTTCTCAACCTTACTTGGTGCAAATGTTTCGAAATTTTCAAATATCATTTAAAACTCGATAAAGATCAATATTACACCGGATTGATCAGAACATTCGTTTTTGCAGGATAAAAATCTTGTAAACGTAAAAGTCGGTTATGGTCGGTAAATAGGATGACTGTTACCATCAACACTGCAACGCAGACCTGGGATTATTACAGGGCCTCTAGAGGCAGCTTCTTATTGGCACATGCATATAGTTACTACCCTAATTAGACGGACTTTTATGTATCATTGCAAATAAAATCCACTGTTTGTTAACATGGTTAACATACGATTGAATACATATGATACTAATTCATAAGTTCGCAGTCATTACTAGCACCACCTGTCGTAAAGTGGCCATACAACTGTCATATAACTAGCTGCCTCTAGGGTCCCTTTTAAAAAAGAAAAGCTTCTGTATGCCAGAATCTTCAACATATTTCAAAGACAAAGATGAAAATAATAAACAAACAAATCAATAACACTCGCACTACAGGGTGGACTTAAAAGAGAAAAGCATCATAAACACATTCCAAAGACAAACATGAAAATGATAAACAAACAAATTAATTACACTCGCACTACAGGGGGGACTATGAAAAGCATCCTCAACACATTTTAAAAACAAACATGAAAATGATAAAAAAAAACAAATGATAAAAAAACCCAAATCAATTACACTCGCACTACAGGGCGGACCCAAAAAAAGAAAAGCATCCTCAACACATTTCAAAGACAAACATGGAAATGATAAACAAACATAAATTCGGTTTAGTAACTTCTGCACACTGTAACGACTAAGTACAATATAACACAAATTAGTGCAGACAAGATTGTAACGATCGCCAATATAAGAGCTGGCATGGGTGTCCGTAAACCAAGAAACCAAGAAATGAAATCTTGTAAAATGATAAATGAAATTTGTAAAACGAGATGAGTTGGTTAGGTATGAAATCTGGACGCGGTGGAAAATAAATTTGGTTGAAACGATGAATTGCAAAAGGTAAAGTCAGGCTGGACTGGGTGTAGGCCTACAAACTCTCTCCTAATAGTGACCTCCAAATTCAGTTTATCATTTAAAGGGGTGTCATGCTATATAAAAAAAGGTTAATGCTGTTAACTTCCTGTTATAGGTAACGCAAAACGATTATAATTGTCCAAGGTTCTCATTCTTCATTTTTGTGAGGATATCAACTGCACTGGGGCGCGCGGAAGGGTTGTAGTTGACAAACTCTTTCAACCAACTTCGAACCTCTGGTGGAACGGTGTCGGACTCCTTGATTGGACACATTTCTTGCTGCATCTTTTCTTTTATCTTATCTACTGGGGAGTGTAAATCATCCATTTCCCACGCGTCGCGTTCGCTGAAAAATTCAAGTAATGTAATTCCAACTGACCACATGTCAGTGGCGGTTGTTGATTTATTACCACCAACTAGACACTCAGGAGCCATGTATCCTGGCGATCCGTCTACACCAATTGTTGTTCTCGTCGCGGCGGCCATGCTGGCAAGAACGGACTTAATCCTACTTATTCCAAAGTCACACAGCTTGGTAACAAATGTGTTCTTCTGGATGAGAATATTTCCAGATTTAATGTCCTGATGCACGATGAATGGACGCAGTGCGTGCATGTACGCCACGCCCTGCAAGAGTTGTCGGGCAATGAACAGTTTAAGTTGCATGTCTATGTCTAGTCTCATGTCTGCATCAAATATTGCGTCTTCCATGTTGCAACCGTCCAGGAATTCATGCACAAGACAAACTGACGCCTTTCCCTTGGCGTACGCTAGGAATTGAATTATGTTTGGGTGTCTCAACGTAGTGTTGATCTGTATTTCCTTTTCTATTGACTTCATAATTTGACTTCGCTGACGTGGAAAGACTTGAATAACTTTTACAGCAACAGGAGAACCCACCCACATCCCTTTGAAAACAGTCTCAAATGTACCTGTCCCAAGATGAACTGATTTATCTATGTCGAGGTCAGAGGTGGCGATTTCGGGCACAGCACATGCAACATTCTTGTCAGGAACAGGTAGAACAGCAGGAGATGCCATAACGACGGTGATTGGTCTGGATTTTTCAGCAGGTAAATCTCCAACATGCACCATACAGTAATAGGTTCCAGGATCCTTGATTATAAGTAAACACAATGAATTGCCACTGCAGAGCAGGTTTTCACCCCTGTACCAATCATAGCGAAGTTTATCATTATGTCCCGTCATACCCCCAGATTTCTGGGGGGTGATGGACGATGTTGCCGTCAAGATTTTCTGGAGCTGAAGGGAACTGACATATTAATTGCCAAGTACCATG